CCCCGTCAGATAGCTCCGAGCCAGTGCAGTCAATCAATTCCTTTGTCACTGCTGCAATGCTGCGAACGAACAATGTTCCGTGGCAAGTGTCGCCGGCTCGACCAGCTATTTTGTTGTCGGCCACTAATCTCCTGGCCGGTTTCCAAAACTTGACGCTCCAGAGTCTCAGTACGAGTGAGGAGGTCAACGACATCCACTGTGTGTTTTGCCTGGCCGAGGATGGAGACCATGCAAACGAGTGCGTGATCTTGCGTTGTGGTCAGTGCCAAGCGCTTTCTCACCTAGCCTGTGCGGAAGAATGGTTGGAAAGGCGCCGTGTGGGATTCGGCACGTCATGCTGTGTCTGGTAGGTATAGGTCGTCTCAATTCTGCAACGATCAGGATGCTGATGGTTACAGTCGAAACGAAGGAACTCTAGACGCCTTGATTCGCCCACTCCGAGTCCTATCGTCGGATGCCGGGACACATTCTGTCCAGACGGCAACTGATCCATCTCCTGATGGAGAACTCGACACGGCCAGGATTTCATCACCAAACGATCCTAGTCAGAGTCAGCCATGTCAGCGGTCAGTGGGAACCCCAGGGGTATCAGTCGAGCATAGTAGCCGCCGGCGCTCAGCCAGACTAGCAGGAGCTCATCTGCTGCGAGACTCTTCTACCGCTACATCGCTTCGCCGGTCGGTACGACTGAATTCCCGCCGAGCGTAGGTGGTCACAGTTTTCGCGTAGGCGTAACAGAAAAATCAATTGAGAGCATAGTCGTGATATAGAAAACTCCAGTGAGATAGGAGTTTGGAGCAAGTAATGGTTGTAAACAAATGAAACACTGATCAATATAAATTCCACCGAGCCTTAGGCGACCGTTCCACCTTGTAACTGGCAGGTAGAATTTCACCCGATGTCAGGCACACACATGAAGCATATACGATGAGTGGAGGATGAACGTTATGGCGGACCCACATAGTGTATCTGGGTTCCCCTAAACGCGAGGAAGCTACCTTCCTTTTGCTTCCTCGCGCGACGTCTTTTATCTAGAGCCAACTATAGTTGTTCAGTTATTCTTAGTATTGATTATTCATTTCGAGACATATCCATCTCTATGTATACGTGAGACCCTCACACCCGAATCAAAAGCTATTGGGAGTATCGCTTCATTTCCAGAACGTGTCGCGGCATGAAACCGAGTCCCGGTAGTTCTAAAGTGCTGGTATCTTGTCTGGGGTTTCAGCTAAGTGCAGCCTTGTTGAGTGTGAAGACGCACCTTGGAGAAAACACCCAACTCTGGGGTCGGCGGGATAATCTTTGACAAATCCTCTGGTCGGTTTTGATTGGATTCTGGGAATTAATGCATTGGCCCTGGAAACGCCAACAGCAATCCTAGGAGCTGTGTATTCATTGGGAGCCCCAACTTAGCTCTTCGGGCCCTTCATATTCTCGAGGAACCAAAAATTATTCCTGGGACCTGCAGTCCAGTTCCTGAATGAATAAGAAATGGCTTTGGGAACATATCGGCTGGATCTAGGAGCTTTTGCACTCCTGGGGCCGTACCTCTGGGTTGTAGAGTCAATCCTATGCCTCCGAGGGTCAAAAAACATCCTTACTAAACACCTTCACCAGAGCTGCGCACAAATCTGAGGCATTCGATCATTCCCAGAAGGTCAATTCATACTACCAGGAACTACGCCTAAGTTTCCAGGAGTTAATGAAGCTATCAACAGGAACGCGGCTTTGGTTCGACGAGGAAAGAAGGCCTCGGAAGTTACGTCGGGTTTCCTTGGGACTATTTCGCTCTTAGAATCAGCTTCTGTGCTCTCAGGAACTGCATCAGAGCCTCCAGGGGCAAGGGAACTCCCAGGACTAATATGGGGGTTCCCATAGGCCGATACAGCCGCCAACAGGAATATCAATGGATCAATAACGTCCTACAGGCTTCGTACAATTTCCTGGCCATGTAATTCCTGGATGCCTCACATGTTTCCAAAGTCAGCTTTGTAAAGTCCCTACACATACAACGGTTGGTGAAAATTTATACACAAGTGATCGACAGCCAACATGTCTTTTGCACCAAGTAACTGCAGGATGAGAGTTAACGTGAGGACACTGCTCTAAAATCGGCCATGATCGGTTGGCAAGTCAGATCAAAAGATGAACACGCATTAAATTCAGTCAATCAATCTAATTCATGAGCGGTCTTAGCAATTCTGTACTAAAATCAATTTCTTTGCATGGCTCCATCCGCCGCATTTCTCAATCGATTTGGATTTCACTCTGCCATCCCCCTTCCCCCCCGCCCCCC